GCAGAACTGAAAACTGGACAAGACCATAATTGAAAAAATAAAAACGATGCTATCTTGTGACCACCTAGAGGGGTGGGATAGGGAGGATGGGAGGGAGATGCAAGAGGGAGGAGATATGGGGCTATACGTATATGTATAGCTGATTCACTTTGTTATAAAGCAGAAACTAACACACAATTGTAAAGCAATTATACTCCGCTATCTACAAATAAATATAAACATGGGTAGATGATATATTCAAAAAGACTGTTGCAGAGTCAATGAGGAGATCTGCAGTAATACAGGCCAGTGCTTCTGAAACTTAAAAGTGCTTACGAATCACCTGGGGACCTTGTTAAAATTCCAATTCAGTAGGTGGGGCCTGAGATGCTGAATATCCAGTAACCTCCCAGATAATACTGATGCTGCTGGTCTGTAACACACGAGTAGCAAAAATCTGGAGGATGACTCAGAAAAGCCTCCAAAAAAAATCGACACAGGAAGAATGATTCTGCAGAAGGTTTGGAGGGCAGGAAAGGAATGGCTTAAAGGAAGAATGATGCCGGGGTCTCTGGGGAGAAATTCCACAGTAGGTGTGAGATTCTTTACATGCTCTACATTTTCCTCTGAAACTGAGCCAGATGATAACCCTTTCCCATTGGTTTTTATGGAACTTTACCCCTTTATGGCCTTCTTTGAAAGTCTGAGTGGGGAAACCATCCTACATGGGAAGATGGGAAAATACAGGAAATTCTGTGTGAACTCAGACAAAATAACTAGCAGCAAATTTGGAATCTACCCTCAAATGTTTGAAAATCTGTCCGTTGGAAGAAGACTGGAAAGAAGAATTTACAGAGAAGCACATTTCACCTCTTGTCGGTGTAAGAGACGTACTTTTAAACAAATGGCATCGTGGAGAAAATTGAGTTAAGATGCTGAACAACGGGAAGAAGCTTAGATCAGCCACGGGCGATGCTGATAGGTGGGCTTTGGAGAAAGCTTGAGTAGGCGCACTATTCATCCCTCCTAGATCTAATAGTCTAGGAGTCTCTGGCCATTTACAAGGAGAAAAGACAAATCAGGAATTGAGGCTCTCTGGTAGTGCTAAGCGCAGCAAATGTGGAGTAAACTGATCAAGATGACTGGTTCCTAGACGTCTAGATTTTATAAATCAACATATATTTTTTTTAATTATGAAAATCAATTGAGAGTGTCCAACTTTTTGTTTTACTATGTACGAATGTGAACACATGCCCGCAAAGATTAATCTATCTACTAATGCCTAATTTCATAAAATAAGAGCATTTGAATACCTGACCCTGCCCCTCTGCAAAAAAGCCACAAGAACATAATCTCAAAATGAAATCCTTTAAGTTGAATTTAGGCTAATGTAAAACTATTAACTTCATACTTACTGATATTTTTCTCATTTCTCGTACATTTAAGAACCATAGGGCTAGATGATCTAAAAATATTTCCTGTATTAACCTGATTCTTTGACTTATCCAAGGCTGATTTCATGTAAAAAACATTCAATGTGGTATCTTTGGTAAAAATGAGGCTCTACACTTCTGAGTTCAGATCCAAGGCAAAGGCTCTCCAATGCTGCCACAGACTCCCCGCCGTCATTCTTGGAGCATAAATTCATCTCAGCTGTCCCTGTAATTTATGCATAAACTTATCTTCATTAGTCTCTACCCTGACAAGTCGGAGTTTGCTTAGGACTTGAAATCTACATCTCTGATGCTGAAAATATCCTCCTGATGTACTCTTTCTTAAAACTGTAAAAGAAGGTGCCAGGAGTGCAAAAATACTGTCTGTGAAAATGGATTCAAATTTAATTTAGCATTTTCTTTTATTTCTTTCTTTCTTTATTTTTGGCTGCGTTGGGTCTTCGTTGCTGTGCGCAGGCTTTCTCTCTAGTGGCAGTACGCGGGCTTCTCATTGCCGTGGCTTCTCTTGCTGTGGAGCACAGGCTCTAGGCACGCAGGCTTCCGTAGTTGTGGCCCACGGGCTTAGTTCCTCCGCGGCATGTGGGATCTTCCCGGACCAGAGCTTGAACCCGTGTGCCCTGCATTGGCAGGCGGATTCTTAACCACTGTGCCACCAGGGAAGTCCTAACTTTGCATTTTCTTTATACACGAAATTTGAATGATCATTTCAATGTTTAAATCTAGAGTTTTCTTTTCCAATTTTGAGGGCTAGAAACCATGACTTTTTTAAAAATTCAAACAAGAATTTGTATTTATTTAGTTGTTACTATTATGTAAAAGAAAATATTTAGTGTTTAATTTGATTCATTGATGAGGAAAAATGAGGTGATATGGTCATCTGAAATTCTTTAAAAAAACGTTAATGACAGTGAAGAATATAACATTCTGCTTTTTACATAATTCTATGGAACTATTTACCTTTATTTAAAAAGTCTCTATTATTTAGTATTATTGCTGATGCCTGCCAGCAAAATGAACATATTGTTACAAATGTCAGCAAATAAAAGAGATAGTGAAGCACTTTGTAATAAACAGGTATACTTTCTTAATACTGTAGTTTACAGTGGTAAATCACAAGGTTTATTTTCTAGCACATAGCAAGAATTTTTTAAAAAGTGATTATACACACTTAATTCTCAATATTGAGATATCACTTTAATTAGAGCCATCTACCTTATTCCTTGTTGTGTTTGTACATACGTGGGAGTATGTGTAAACTGCTTACTGTATTTTAGATAAAATATGACCTCATGTGAACATATTGTTTTTGGCAAGGCCTAACTGCAGCTATCTGAAAATCTCAAAAGTTCAGAGACGCCTAGATAATCAACCTACGGGATAGGAATACACAATTTCTACACCTGTGAGGCAAAACTAGCCAACAGTCCATGGCAGGAGACCCTTCTTCCCAAGGTCACCTAATGACAGTGGGTGCTAGATTCATGATTTGATTCTAGGGCTTGAGCAAAAGCCACGTCTAACACATTCTTGGCACTTGATTTTCTTTGCAAAGGTCACCAGAATAACCAAATTGGAATGTGAAAGTCACCGACCACTTATGAAAATCATTCTTGCTGCATTACAAAGGCAGTACTAGATTCCTCAAGGCTCACTTGGAAAACCGAACTTTTCTAAAGACCAATTTCTATATCAAATTGAAACATCAACTGTACACTGACTGGATCTGTCTTTTCTCTACAATTAAAAAAAGTTAATGCTTTAGACTCCTGTCTAATTAAAAAATTAGAAAAATTAGAAAACAGAAACAAAACCTGCTTACTCCCTTCTATATCAAAGCACTCTATCAGCCTGAGGTTAGAAGAGCCACACCCTAGGAAGGTGAGTTCATCCTGCAAATCAAGAAAAATAAAAACTGCATTGTGCATTTTTCACAAGAGGGCTGTGGTCACAGCCAGAGCTGTGCAGGCCAGATCATGTCCCAGCAATAGTGCTGATCTAGGCTCTGCCTGCACCCTTCTCCCCACGGCACACTAACCTTCTTAATTCATATGCCCAGGATCGCTGAATATTCTTTGGGTCTGTATTAGTCTTTGCAGTGAGATACGATTATCAAAGTCTGTTTAAAAACACACCTGTTTTAAGCAAGTCTATTAAATCCCCTATAAGTTACTGAACTCTGCTGCATTTTAACCAGAAGATAGAGACATATTATTTCAAAGAAATTAATTCCCTTCGAAAACCTAAAAGACTTGGGGTAATACAAACCCTGGCAGGTGTGCTGTTTGTGCTTTAAGAGAGGAAAAACACAGACTTTAAGGAAAGTAGGAATTCCATTTAGTCTTTACATTTTATTACCTGCTAAGGAGAACCATGCCTCCTTTGGGGGGTAAATTTTGGGGGAGAACTTCCAAATAATTCCACAGTAGATAAGATAAAGCACCAAGCCCCTGATACAGGGTCGCAGAAATGAACAGAGTTTGGTTTGAAGCCCCTGGGCCACTTTGGAGGTGCGGGGCAAATCAAAGATCCTAGCAGAGAATGGGGAAAAAAAGCAGGGTAGCCTTCTTTCTCAGTTTTAAACTATTAAACTCAGTTGGTAAGGCTCCATTCAGTAGTAGTTGACTTTAAGCTTCTGATTATCCTCATACTTAAACCCTCCTCTCCTGGACCCCTCACACAATGCTAATCACGATAGACTCCGGCTGTTCTTCCCCTCTACGAGAAAGCAGGGGGTGGTACCGGCCCAGAGCAAGCTCCTCTCCAGTCCCGCGTAATAGTAACAGGTAGTCCCTGAGGCTTCCTCCACGCTGGAAAAATAAAATACTCTATCTGCAATATATTAAGTTGTCAACTCTGCTTCATTTCACTGGTGCAGAAAATGTGTTTGCTTTTTAGATTTCAAATCAGATTAAAATAAAGTTTTCTACACAGCAATGCCAGGCCTAAGCCCAAAAGACACTCCCTCTAACAAGAATTAGCCTGAAGCATTAAACACTGCAGTATCTACTGAAATCTTCCCTCTGCTGAAACTTTGATTTAAAGGGCTTTTTTGAAGGAAGAAGAGCTGCTCTCACTTAGTTCAAGTTAAACGAATAATACATTAGGGAAGGTACGCATTTTAAATACTTACATTTTAAAATATAAGGCATATTTCATATTTTAAAATATAAAATAGGTGGCGGAATGGGAAGAAATTTCAGTAGGTCTCCAAGAAAACACACTTTGTTCATTACATTTACTCATCAAACCCTTTTCAAATGGCTGAAATCATCTTTTGCTGTACCGACAGACCCTATGAATAAACGTAGTTTGAACTAGGGCCATTTTCTTCCAGTGTCGAGCCTGGTTTTGGACACGGAAAGCTGCTACTGCTTTATTCTGTTCGGGTCGGATGTACGAACCTAGGCTCTAAAGAGATATTTGTCGAATCACCCATTACCCCCGACCCTGTTCAGTCCCTTCTCGACCCTGTTTAGTCCATTCTCATAGGGCGACTTCCGCACTCCCAGGGCGCCGGCGCTCGCCCAGCAGCCGTCCGGAGGACTTCACGGAGGCGGCGGCACTCACCAAAGTCCATGAGGCTTTCGCAGTTGTTCGCGTTGGTACACCGCCACCACAGCGAGGACTCCTGGTCGGTACCGTTCAACTGCAGCCATCCGCGGCCGGCCAACGCGATGATGTCGAAAATGATAGCGCTGAACAGGAGCAGGGGCAGGATCCACCTGCAGCGCTCGCAGGCCAGGCCGCAGGCCAGCATCTCGACGGCGGTGGTGGAGAGGAGAGGGGCGCGTGGGGCTCGGACGCCGGCGGAGAGTGACCCTAGAGCGCCGGCCGCGCGACAAAAGGGAGGAGGCCGCGGGGAGGCGGCTCCTGGAGGACGCGGCTCGGGGCTGGCCGCGGGGGCGAGGCGCCCGCCCCACCTAGATTCCGGTGACTCAGAGCGCACCGCCTGGACCTGCCCGGCCGGCGGGCCCGGGCGCGCGCGGGGGAGGAGGGGTCGGGGTCGGGTTACACTGGGTGTGTGTGAGCTTACCCTGCCCGGAGAGACCTGGAGCCGCGGGGACCCACTGCCTCGTTTCCCTCTCACTTGGTCCTCTCGCATCCAGTGCTTTTCTTCTCAGTGCTTCAACGTGTACACATTTTAATCTGCGCATCACCAATTAAATATTTAACCCCTGAAGTCGGATCACGATTTGATTTTCAACAATACGATATTTAAGTTTCCAGCCATTTGAGATGAGTGTTCGCATTGGACAGGGGTCATTGCCGCACTCTAAGCGCGTGTACCGAGCCCAGGAGCCGGTCCCTGACCCTCCCCCGCAGGGCTGGACGATTCCTTCTGGGGTCCACCTTTGGACCTTGTACCATGGCTGCTTCAGACTCTTCACTGCTTACATCCCCACCTTCCCCACTCGGGTGCCAACTCTTTGACAGAAAGACCATGTTTTATTAATCTGTGTATCCCTGGTGTCTGGGTCTCAAGGGGGACACAATAAACATTTTATGCGTGAACACACTGAAATTAACAAATGCTCACTTCTGTCCTAGAAGCGCTTCACCCGGCTTCTCCAGATAAATTCAGGTCCTCTTTGCCACGGTCCACTCCCTCCCACAAATCTCTTACCTATTTACATCCCGCTGCATCTACCCTTTTCATTTCCTGTTTTGAGGTTTCTCCAAATAAAAATCATATGTCATGTCAGCATGCAACCAGCACCTAAAGCCCCACCTCCTGTGTCCTGGCCCTGCTTCTGTCACCACCATGACTCCTCTGGTGTGGATGGGAGGGGGACTGAGGAGAAACGAGTTCTCAGTGTCCACACCGCCATGGCCTTGGGCAAAGCATGAAGAATATCCAATGAGGGTCATATCTTACCTTGTACTTGCAAAGATTTCTTCTGAATCACTTTTCCTTTTTATTTAATTGGAGATTTACAATATTCTGTTAGTTTCAGGTGTACAGCATAGTGATTCATTATATTTATAGATTATATTCCATTTAAAATTACTGTAAAATATTGGCTACATTCCCTGTGCTGTACAATATATCCTTGTAGCTTATTTATTTTATACATAGAAGTTTGCACCTCTTAATCCACTACCCCTATCTTGCCCCTCCCCCTTCCCTCTTCCCGCTGGTAACCACTAGTTGGTTCTCTATATCTGTGAGTCTTTCTGTTTTGTTTTATTCTTTCGTTTTATTTTTTTAGATTCCACATGTAAGTTATATAGTCTTTGTCTTTCTCTGACATATTTCACTAAGCATAATACCCTCCAAGTTCATCCATATTGTTACAAATGGCAAAATTTCATTCTTTTTTAATATTATATATATATATATATATATATATATATATATAAATATATTCTTGTGTGTGTGTGTGTGTGTGTGTGTGTGTATATATATATATATATATATATATATATATATATATATATATATATATATACACCCCACATCTTTATTCATTCATCTGTTCATGGACACTACGTTGCTTTCGTATCTTGGATATTGTAAATAACGCTGCAGTGAACATTGGGGTGCATGTATCTTTTTGAATTAGTGTTTTCCTTTTCTTCAGATATATTCCCAGGAGCGGAATTGCCGGTTCATATGATAGGTCTATTTTTAGTTTTTTGAGGAACCTCCATACTGTTTTCCATAGTGGCTACACCAATTTACTTTTCCACCAACAGTGTAGGAGGGTTCCCTTTTCTGCACATCCTCACAAACATTTGTTATCTGTGGTCTTTTTGTTGATAGCCATTCTGACAGGCATGAGGAAATATCTCACTGTGGGTTTAGATTTGCATTTCTCAGATGTGAATCCCTTACTTTTTCCATTAATTTAAAATAAAAGAAGTGGGAAATATTTAGCAGTGTTTAAAATTTAGTCTCCTATATTTCAGTTTGGTATTCTCAATAGAAACAAAATACTATATCTTGTGTTATGCAGTTCTCTGGCAATTTTTGAGGATGAATAAAATAAAATTACTGAGAAAGTTAGTGTCTGAAACCACCTGAAATAATTTCTCCAGCCTTCATTTTACATAAAACAGCTTCACATATTTTCATTAAAAGCAAAAATTTTCACTTTCAAAAGTAGCACAAAGGGGCTTCCCTGGTAGTGCAGTGGTTAGGAATCCACCTGCCAATGCAGGGGACACGGGTTCCTGGTCCGGGAAGATCCCACATGCCGCGGAGCAATTAAGCCCGTGCACCACAACTACTGAGCTTGCGCTCCAGAGCCCGTGAGCCACAACTACTGAGCTCACGTGCTGCAACTACTGAAGCCTGCGTGCCTAGACCCCATTCTCCGCAACAAGAGAAGCCACCTCAGTGAGAAGCCCGCGCACCGCAACAAAGAGTTGCCCCTGCTGCCTGCAACTAGAGAAAGCCCGCGTGCAACAACGAAGACCCAACACAGCCCAAAAAATTAATTTTTTTTTTTTTAAGTAGCACGAGGGGCTATTCTGCCGAGAGTTAACTGCATACGGTGTAGACTGTGTGAAGAAAATGCTCTCAGTTTTCAAAAGTAATGAAAATATTTGTTTTATTAGCTGTATAATACATTTGTGACAAAAAATCATATTCTTACAAATCAAATAAAGTACTGATTGCGGGCAAAGTGATTTCAAACAAATTGAGAGTTTCACTGGTGTCTTAACATCTTCAGATAATTTTGGACGAGATATGATTTCTTTGTCTTGTTTCAGTAGATTTGAGGAATAGAGCTCATTAATGCTGAAGTGAAAGCAAGGAAAGTAACTCTTCAGAATTTATGGAAGAGACACAAACTGACCCTGGTTGGGTTCCAACAATAACATACCTCACACATGATTCCCAGATTGCGGAACCAGATAGCTCGGGTTCAGATCATTTCTCATACTAGCTGTGTGACGTTGGGCCACTTAACTTCTCTGTGCCTCAGTCTCCTCATCTATAGAATGGATGGTGCCCACCCCACAGCATTGTAATAAGTATCAAAAGAGCTAATATATGTAAAATGCTCAGGATAATGCCCACACATAGTAAGCTGCAACAAAAGTGTTGGTGATGATGATTATGATGATGATGATTTTCACATAGGTTTTCCATTTTAATAGGGCTGGAAATGGGGCTTTTCATGTTTGTAAGGGGCAAATTCTATGTATGAATATTAACAGTAAATCATTACCATAGACAATGCAATCATTCATCCAGCCATATTCCTGAAACGATGGCTTATAGTGGATAGCAGATGGTTAAATAGCGCCCCCTACTGGACAATATATGGATTGCAGAACACTCAACAACGTAAATTGTTCCCGAAAAAAGTTTCTATTCTTATAAATCTGGGGGTTTTATGGTTATAAAAGCAATGAGTGTTATAAACAAAAAAACATAAATATATCATTTTAAACTGAAAATTTTTAGTTGTTTTACCCTCCTGTCCAGAAAAAGTAACAGTAATTATAATAGCTGACTCACATTTGCTGGGAGTTTGCTATGTGCCAGTAAGTGTTTCACACCCACCCTATGAGGTGTGTACCACTATCGCCTGCATATAGATGATAAGAGTGGGGCACAAAGAAGTTAAGCAGCTTGCTCAAAACCACACAGTCCCTGAGTGGCAAAACCACACACCACCCAGTTTGACACCAGAGACAGTACTGTTTATAACAGCCACTCATTAGAGTTTGGGAGATATTCCTCCAGAAGTTTCCTTCTTTCTCTCCTCTCCTTGCCCTCAAAAGCATCCAAACCACTGCCAGTTCTCTCCCAAGTTGTAGTGAAATGACCCCCGTGTAAGTTGTCACGTTCTCACTAGTAAACCAAATTGACAGCAGTGCGGTAAAGAGGTGATAGTAAAACAAGCACTGAACAGAAAATCAGGTAGTCTGGGTTCCGCTTCTTGCTGACCCTGTATTTCCCCTCTAATCCTCATCCAATCTCTTCTCCCTGGCTTATGCAACCTTTTAATAATCACTACTCTCTCTCTCTCCATTTTCCTTCCTCAGCCAACTGTAATTTTCCTTCTACCTAGTGATGTGATGGCCAAAGTTTAACAACCAACTCTCTGAAGAAAAAAAAAAATCCTTGACATGTAGTATTTGCCAATTCCTATAGGGTAGCTGCTCTCCCATGGCTGATTTCCAGCTACCAATCTGATGTCACTGAACACAGATTTAGGAAGAATATATATAATCATTTGTCTCAAGCTAGTAAGAGCACACCACTGCATCTACTCCCAATATCCTACTAAAACTGCTCTCACAAAGGTCACCAGTAAGCTATTTGCCAAATTCAATGGATATCATTGGCCTCTTTGTGGCAATAGATACTTAAATATCTCCCTCCATGAAGCTTTCTACTCTCTTGGCTTCTATAAAGACGTTAGGGGCTTCCCTGGTGGTGCAGTGGGTGAGAGTCCGCCTGCCGATGCGGGGACACGGGTTTGTGCCCCGGTCTGGGAAGATCCTACATGCCGCGGAGCGGCTGGGCCCGTGAGCCATGGCCACTGAGCCTGCACGTCCGGAGCCTGTGCTCTGCAACGGGAGAGGCCACAACAGTGAGAGGCCCGTGGACCA